TGTGTGCAGCATGTCATCTTTATTTATCATTTTCCTCATTTTTTTTTTTGTACTAAGGATTGAACACTCGACCACTGAGCCACATCCCCAGCCCTATTTTGTATTTTATTTAGAGACAGGGTCTCACTGAGTTGCTTAGCACCTCACTTTTGCTGAGGCTGGCTTTGAACTCCTGATCCTCCTGTCTCAGCCTCCTAACTGGGGCACTACAGTTGCACCTGAAGGTGGATTCATTATGTATTCATAAGTGCACACAATGTAGCAATCTTGATTGGTGGGGGGTGCTGGAGCTGTGCCCCACCAGGGCAAGTCCAGACTGGACAGGGAGTGACCTGCTGCCATCCTGCCCAGCTCAGCTGCTTGGCCAACCTTGCCACGTGGCGCGGCCTTCAGGGTGACTTCAGGCTCCACCCGCCTGACCTCCTGCTCTTTTACAAGTGAGTGCCCTACCCCATGGCTCCTGGGGGCCCTGCTAGGCAGGCGGGAGGCCTGGCCCTGCCTCCCTGATGTCCTCCCACCTGCCGGCAGCCTGAGCCAGGTAAGGGAAGCTGACTGCCGGGCCTTCACCCACCGTGCTGCCCAGGGGAACACAGAGCTGCTGGCCAACTTGCCTGACCAGAGGGTGACCCTGAGACACACAGCCCTGGCCTGCCTGGTAGGTGCCCCCAATGCAGACGAAAGGACAGTGGGGCTGGCCTCTGCTTGGTGCTGACCTGCTTTCTCTGCAGGGGACGCCTCACCTGCAGCTCAGTGCCTCAGACCTGGAGCTCCTCGGGGTCCTGGTGTGTGACATGCAGGCATCCAGCATCGTGACCTCAGACCCTCATGTGCTGCAGAACCTGCTGCGCTGTCCCCAGCTGACTGCTGCCCAGAGTGTTGCCCTCAACAACCTGCTGGCCAGTGGGAGGACCCAGCTTGGGTGGGTAGGGGTCACAGGGTCTAGGGTGAGGAGGGGTTGGTGGGGTTGGGGGCTCCCCTGCTTGAGACAAGATAAGAAGCAACTGGATCTTGGGCTCCGGGGGTCATTGATGGCCACATCCCTACTGACCTCTGACTTCTGCCTCACCTCCTCAGCCCTCAGCCTTGCTCCTTCTGCCTCCAGCCCTCAGCCTTGCTCTGGCCCCACAGGCCATGGGGTGCAGGGTGGGAAATGCTGACTGTCTGGCTGGGTGCCCACAGCAGGGCAGGCTCCACCAGCTGTGAATGGGCACCTGCCTGTACTCTGGGTACACCTGAGAACCTCCTGGAAGCTTCTTCCGCCCTGCTCAGGGAGGGGCAGCAGGTTGGGGGTTGGGATGTTGCCCTCGGCCCCAACACAGTGCCCCTTCCCATGCACTAGGCCTCCCAGCTCCTGGAACCTGAAGGGGCTTCAGGCCCTGGGATCCCTGACCACCTACATCAGCCCCCATGTGTGGGCACAGGTACCAGAGGTAGGTGGTGCCAGCGGAGTGGCCATGGGCACAGGGTAAGGTGCTGCCAGATGTCTCTTCCACCAGCCCATGCCTCCCAGCCACTCTGGGGACCTAGTGGGGCCCCAAGACCATCGGAGTCTCTGGGGTGGGAGGAGGGGCCAGGTGCCTCTATGATGTGTGGATATCATGCCTACCTGCCAGGCTGTGGGCCTGGACTTCTTCCACAGAGTGGTGGCTGCCTGCCGGGCAGGACAGCTCAGCCAGCATGATGCCAGGCACTTCGTGACCAACTTCCTGGAATCCAAGGCTAACTTGGCATCCTGGAGGCCCAAGCGGGGTGCAGGTTGGTGTGGCCACCATGGGCATCCTCCAGTCTAGGCTCCCCTCTGGTCTGGTGTGGGCCAAGTTGTTGGTTAAAGGTGAACCTGGGATGTGGTCAAGGTCTAATGAGGTCAGAAGTGGAGGTCAGAGTGGAGATGGGCTGGAGCCAGCAGAGGTGGTCAGCTCTAGCCTTGGCTAATGGATCTGGTCATTAGCCCACCCTGCTGGGAGGCCCTGTACCCATGGCAACATCACAGCGGCCACGCTGCGTGACAACCTGTTCCTGGTGCACTATGACTGCGCCCAGCTCCAGTCGTGCCTGGGAGGCCCCGTGCTCAGGGCCAACCTGGACCCCCTGCTGCAGCACCCCCTGCCTGCTGAGTGCCAGCGCGTCATCAAGGCCAAGCTGGCCCAGGTACAGGGACAGACCCCCGAGGGACAGGCAGCAGGGCCTGGGCCACTGAGCTCACCGCCTGCCTCAGGTCTACCCACAGGGCATCCCTGAGGACCAGCTGCGGCTCATCACCTCGCTGGTCTACCTCTTCTCACGCACTGAGATAGGCCAGTGGAATATCACATCCAGGGACACGGTTGTGGCCCTACTGGCCTCGGATGTGGCTCTGGAGAACCAGACAGAGGTGAAGGCATTGGAGGTGGCTGGGGAGCCGTCTGGTCCACCCAGCCCCACTGACCCTGTCCCTGTTCCCAGGCAGTCCTGCAGAAGTTCCTGGACCAGAATGGTACGGTCACCAGTGCCCTTCTGGTGGCCATCGGGGGCTCCCGCCTCTGCTGGATGAGCCCCCAGCAGATCCAGACCATCCAGCCCTCAGAATTCCGGTGAGCCTCCCATACAGCCACACAGCTGGCCACCCACCTGGCAAGGGTCACCAGGGGAAACCAAGGCTCAGGAGGCCCTCTGTAGACCCTAGGCTGTCCCTGTGTCCACCCTGCTTGCCCTCACATCTGCCTCTAAGTGTCCCCCCATCCAGTCTGGGCTGGGCTACTGGAGATGCATTCATGTCCTAGGGCCATGGTAACAAAGTACCACAAACTAGGTGACTTAAAATAAGTAACGTGTTCTCCAGAACCTCTGGAGGCCAGAGGTCCCAAGTCAGGGTATCAGCAGGACCCTCCCATGGGTGCTTCCAGTCCCCAGCATGGCTGAAGCTTTGGTGCTCCTGCGAACCCTGCCTCTCCTTCACATGGCCTTCTCCCTGTGTCTGTGTCCATATTCCTCTGTTCCCATAGGGACCCCAGATTCTGGATTTAGGGATGACCTAATCCAGTCTGACTTCGTCTTTTAATCTGATTTCTTCTGCAAACACCCTACTTGCAAATAAGGTCACATTCTGAGGTTCTGGGTAGATGCAAGTTTGGGGGAACCTGCTCAACCCAGCACAGAGGGCAGAAGGTCTCCCAGGGGGCTCACAGCCTCACACTCTGCAGGCTGGCTGGGGTCCTGGACATCTCCTCCTGTCCTCAGAGCCAGAAGGACGTGCTCTTTGCCAAGGCTCGCGAGGCCTTCCACAACACCAGGTCCACGGCTGACTACTACCGCTTCATGCGCCCCTACCTGGGTGAGCCCCGCCTGTGGGTGGTGCCCTCCCAGAAGCCCCCCCTGCCCCTTCTCATCACTGCCCCTCCAGGTGGTGCCCCGGTGGAGGAGCTGCAGCACCTGGCCCAGGCCAATGTCTCCATGGACATCGACACCTTCACCAACCTCAACCCACGAGTGCTCCAGGTGGGGGGCTGCGCTGACGGAGGGGAGGCAGGGCAGGGCTGGCTGGCCCAGGTGCCCCAGATCCCAGGTCCACACAGTCCTGAGTGAGAGGACCAGAGGTGTTCTGTGCCCCTCCTCGTGTTGTCCCGGGAAGCACTGCCCCTGTGGGGTCCTCCTCAGCCACAGAGGCAACCCTGGGACCTTTCTGCCTCCCTCCCAGAGCCTGAGTGTCAGCAATGTGACCACCCTGCTGGGGCAGAATGTGGGGGACCTGCAGAAGGCCCGCAGCCACCCCACAGTCAGCTCCTGGCTGCGGAGCCTCAGCAGCTTGGCCCGGGATCAGCTGGGCCTGGACGCTTCCCACCCTGGGCCCAGCCCTTCCTATACAGCCAGCAGGCCCCCCAGCATCACCCACCCCACACTCCACTTGGCCTCCACCTCAGGCCTGCCTGAGAACAACACCTCGGCCCCCATTGCAGGTACAGTGTACACCTTTACTCCCCTCTGGGCCCAGGGCCCTCTGTAGACCCTAGGCTGTCCCTGTGTCCACCCTGCTTGCCCTCACATCTGCCTCTAAGTGTCTTTGGCTTGGCACAGTGTCACCTTCCATTGCCTGCTGACCCATTTGAGGACACAGTGCCTCCTCCTAAACCCACAGATCTGTGGAATGGGTGAGGGGAAGCTCTGTGGTCCCTGAGGAGCTAAGAACAGTTGCAGAGGGTCCTCACTGGCCTTCCCACACTTAGCAGCCCAAAGCAGGGGTTCCCAGGGGGGCTGCAGGTGGCTTCTGGTTGGAACTAATAGGTCCCCTCCCTATCTGCCCACAGGAAGCCCCCCAGTCCACCTGGGTTTTCTGCCGCTCTCTGTGGCCCTGCCTTCTGGCCTTCTGTGGCTGCTGCTGCGTCGCACATCTCTGAGCCCAGTGGGGACTGCTCATGGAGCACCAGGACCCTGGCCAGTGCAGACAGTGCTGCCCCAGGGTGACCAGGCCCACAGGCACCACATGCAGGAAACAGGGGGCTGCTAGGTGGAGCTGGCCACCTGCCCAGGTTGTGGCTCAGACCCTAGCCCCAGGGGGACAGCTGTGTCCCACCTCTCAGGAGGCCTGCAGGGCCGGCCCCTCATGCCTTGGCTCCCAGGAGCAGAGACCTGGCCAGTTACAAGCCCAGGCGGGCAGGAAGATGAGGCCCAAGTCTCCTGCCTCCTCCAGGACACCTGGGCCGGGCAGGACTTCAAGGTCATTGTTCTCCCTGGTGGATCAGAATAAAATGTAAGGCTATCCTGCCACCTGTGTATTTGCTCAGGTCCCAGAGGGGACACAGGAACCCTATTACCAGGGCCCAGCATGTGTCCACCACCTTGGCGACACCATCAATCACAACAGGAAGGCCTCTCAAACAGCCCCCCAGCCTAGAGGCCCACCCTGGACTCTTCTTTCGTGAGAGTGAGAGAGCTGACCACATGGACCCCAGATTATAGGGTCACAGGAAGCCCAAAAGCCACAACCTCCCACCTGGCCCAGTGACATCACAGGATATGCCTGCAGGGCAGGTGCTACTGTTTATTGAGCTCAAACACCCTCAGGTTTGACAGCAACCACCTGACTGCCACCTGCTGCAGATGAAGAGGTGGCCTCAGCTCAGAGTCAAAGCCAGGAGTACAGCTGGGATGGATGCAAGCAAGAGTCCAGGTCCATGGAGGGGGCACGCCCCAGAGAAGGCCTCTGCACAGAGAGGGGTGACTCAGACCCCCTCTGCCCTCTGCCTTCCCCCCACCTTCCCTGGACTCTGCCCAGGCCACCTGGCCCACCTCGGGAGCGGAGGTCCAGGACAAGGTAGCCATTGGGGATGCCACCCTGGAGCCCCAGCCCTAGCCTGTCCAGGTCCTCCTGCCGCTGCTGTGAGATCCAGTCCTGCACTGGGCTATCCTCTTCCTCAGCCTTCAAGTCCCTGACGTGTGGCCCCAGAAGTTTCTGTACTTCAGACACGGTCAGACCCTACCAGACCATCAGGCATTCATCAGAGTCTTCAGGCCCCAGAAGATGGGGTGCCACTGTACCTACACCACCCACGCCTCCACCCATAGCTGCCTGCTGACCTCAGCCTGTACAGACTTGGCTCTCAGACAGGCTGGCCCTGGCATGTTGATTGCCCAGCCGGAGGTCGCACCCCACTGTCCCGTCCCTACCTACCACCACAGCCTCAACCCGTAGCTTCTTGAATGTGGCCATGTCTATGGTCATATTCTGCAGGATGAGTGTCCTCAGGTCCTCCATGGGAGCCCCACCTGTGCAGGAAGGACCCCCAACTTGAGGCCATATGACATACCCCAGCCCCACCCTCTGCTACAGGCTACAGAAAGTCTACCTTCTTACAAAGACTCCTTCTTCCCGAGGAGTCCTGGTCCCGGCTTTGCCTGGTAGCCACCTAACCCTCTAACCAAAAAGGGCCAGAGCTCCCACCAGAGTCAGAGCTCACCGTCTTAAGTACACATCCTTGGAGGAGTGGGGGACAGGATATGGGGGACTGCCCATTCACGCCTACAGAGGGCATTCAGGGAGGCCCTTGACTGGCCACTGCAAATAGGGGTCTTGCCTGCCCCTTGCTCTGCCCACCTGACAGGGTGCCCTAGCTCACCCAGGAAAGCCCGGATCCTTCCAAGGTACTCAGGCTGGCTTATATTCCTGAAGGTCACGCAGGCCTTGGAGTAGAGGACATGTAGCTGCCTAGGGCCACATGAGTCCAGGTCCTGGGGTCTGATGGCCCTGGGGACAGTGTGGGGCCAGGCAGTGAGTGGGGACCACAGCATGCCCACCCTGCCCTGCAGAGGACTGTGACTCACCACATGACCCTGGAGGGCACAGAGTGCAGCTGCTCAGCACTGAGGAAGCACAGGTAGGAAGGATGGAAGCCAGCCAGGCTACCCATGGTGTCCTGGTCCAACTGGCCACCTCCCAGCACATAGTGGGCAATCAGGGCAGTCACCTGTGGGAGGAGGTTGTTGAGGTGCCTTGGAGCAGGGAGAGATGGACCCCTACCAGCCAGCAAACTTTAAGCTGTCCTCCCAGGCTGAACAGTACTGTGCTGTGTTCCCCCAGGTCAGAGTCCAGAGTCCCCTGATGCCCCCGTCATCAGGCCACAAAGTCCCATGCCGATGCCCCTCAGGCAGGTGGTCACCTGCTTGTCCATTTTTTGCCCTTTGCTGACATTGAGTAGGGCTTTCACAGTCTCCAGGGAGGTCAGGTTCCACTTGTGGATGTCCTCGGGGCTGACGTAGCGGAAGAAGTAGCCCAGGCGCTGGACCAGGGACTCAGGGTAGCCTTGTGGGTAGGTCTGTGAAGAAGGTGACCATGAAGGCCAGGGCCACTCCCTGGGTGAGGCCAGCAGGCAGTAGCATGTGGCATCAACTACCTGGTCTAGCCTGCACTTGAGGGTGTGGATCTGCTGGTAGGTGAAGGGGATCGCATTCACAAGCTCCATGTGGGTAGACAGCAGGGCACCGTCCACACAGGCCTCCAGTTCCCACTCTTCATAGAAGATGAGGTTTTCATCCACCACCTGGGGCTTCCGGCCAGGGGGGCAGGGCTTCTGCTTCTGGGGGCAGGTCCTCTCTGCAGGGGAAGGCTAGTCAGGGGCCATCGGCAACCCCTCCTTCCTCCCATGTTGTCTGGGAGACTTGGGGGCTCAGTTTACCCACAGGAGAAATGGGGCAGCTCCATCCCCTCTGAGTTTATGAGGGAACCAGCTGAGGAGCCAGGAAGGGTCGTGGGCCGGGGGAGGGGGACCAGCGAGACACCAACCCTGGGATCCTGCCTCAGCCTGATGTCCAACGGGCAGGGCAGGGGCTCACCCTGTGTGTCCCGCCGGAGCCTCATGAGGGTGGCAGGAAGCTCTGGCCTCCGCCAGGATGGGCCCCTGGAATGACGCAGCAGCCAAGCAGCCAGGACATCCTGAGGACAGAGTGGGTGGCTGAGCCTCATAGCCCAGAGGCTTTGCAGCAGGGGGCCGGGGTCTCACCTTGGGGATGTCCTGGATGATGGGCTGGTCCAACACAGCTAGCAGGCCCTGCAGAGCGTCCAGCGTTGAGACTGACCACCTCGACGGGGGCCTGTCCAGATACAGGGGGCCGTCCAGAATTAATAGGGGACAGAAGCAATCCCAGCACTGCCCTGGACAGATATTGTGATGGGGACCTTGCGGGGACGCTGACAGGGTATGATGGACGGCTGGCCCTGGCACCCAGCACAGCTGTGGCTACCCATTGTGCACTCACCAGCCACTTACCCATAGGGGGGTCCTCCGCCTTGCAGAACCACTCTGGCTGCCTCCTGCTGGCCCTGGTCCAGGGGCCCTGGGCAGCCTGCCAGCCGGGGGAGGAGGACTGGAGCTGAGTGCACCACGAAGCGCCCAGGCAGGTCACAGGCCAGGGCTCCCAGAGCCCTCACGTCCTCCTTGAGCACCCTGGAGCCGCGCACGCCCTGCATATGCAGGGGCCTCAGTGCCTTAGGGAATGGCCGAGCCCCCCTCACTGCCTGCAGCCCCACCCTGTCCCAAACCTGGCAGGCTAGGGTTGCGAGCAGCAGCCGCCGCCGCTCCGAAGCTCTCGGTGGGAACACGTTGGCCTTGGTGATGTGGGAGAAGAGGCGTGCACAGGCCTGGGACCCCGGGGTTGGCGCTGGACTGCACAGAGGGTCTGGGTCAGGCACCCTGAGCACTAGGCCTCCTGCGGGCCCCCTGGTGAGCCAAGTCCCTGCACTTTGAGGTCCCCGGGCACAGAGGTGCGGCCAAGCCCAGGAACAGGCCCTACTTGAGGAAGGGCGCCATGTCCAGTGAGGAAAGCATCCAGGTCCTTGGGGATGAGGTGCTGGGAAAGGCAACCTGCCAGGCAGCTCAGCCACCAGGGACAGGGACATCTGGCTCAGAAGGCTCTGGCAGCAGCATCCCAATAGGCCCAGGGGAACATGTGGGGACTGACCTGACCATCTTGAGTGCCACATTCTTCTGCTCCGTGGCCAGGGCCCCTCCTGGGTGTGTTCCACACGCAGGCCAGGAAGCCAGGGAGGAGGCCTGGGGCAAGGCTGGCTGGGCCAGCAGTGTGCACCCCCTCCCACAGTAACCCTCCTCCTGCAGCGTTCCCCTGGGCTCCTCACCCAGGTGACACTCAGAAGGGCAAGGAGTCACTCCCCTGGGAGTCAATGCCCCTCTACCCCTGAGCCTCCAGGCAGGGAGGGGCACAGAGAGATTCAGGCTCTCCCCAGGGGACGTGGGGGTGGAACAGGGAGTAGACAGAGAGGATGTGGGGATGAAGGCAAGGCTGAGAACAAACTGTGGCTGGCACCTGGCCACCAGTAAGGGCACCAAGCCCTCAAAGGCTGCAGGGTCAAGACCTACCTGGTAGAGTTGCTGGTGTTGACCAAGCCTGGGTCCAGGAGCACAGCCTGGGGGACAAGGCCAGGCTGACGGCTCCCCCAGGCCTGTGCCTCTCTGGCCCCGCTCCACCTTTGCCTGGTACCCACAGCTCCCTCCTCCAGGGCATGGGGGAGAACAGCTGTCACCCACCTCCACCCATGACCCGGAGCCCTGCCCTTCTCCCACCAGCCCCTCACCTGTCCCATCTCTGTAACCTGAGTCCTTAGAGGTTGCAGCCACCCTGTGAGGTAGAGGGCATGAGGTTGGCGGGGAGGGCTGGGGGCTTCTCAGGTAGACCCCAACCTGGGAAGGGAGGAGGTCTCTCCCCTTCCCACCTCTTCTCAGTCCCACCCAGCACAGCCTACAGGACATGGGGACAAGGTTGAGGCCCCTGCACCACAAGGTGCCATAGCGCAGGCTGCCAGGCAGGGATCTGAGCTGCACAGAGAGCCAGGGCTTCCCGCGTCCTTTCCCTGGCAGGACACTTCTTCTCCTGGGCACCAGGTCATGCTCAGCCCCAGCCCCACCAGGACGCAGGCCTCCTGCCCACAATGGGGGAGAAGGCACAGGGCAGTGGGGCTTCCCCAAGGTTCTGACCCATGAAGAGCCCAGGGCTGCCCTCCACCTCTCCCTGGCAACGCACAGCCCACCACTGGACTCACCCAGGCTGAGGAGCAGCAGCAGAAGCCTGCCATGGGTGGCAGGCTCACAAGACCCCAGGGAGTGTTGAGCTGTGGGCAAGGCCATGTCCTATGGACGACAGTGCCTCTGATGTTCCCACCCGATCCCCACCAGGCAAGTGAGGGGCCTTTGGGCCAGGAGAGCTCTGGCTGAGCCTGTTGGGCACAGGCAGGAGCGTCTATGCCACTGGCCCTGCTCTCAGACTGGCCCGCCCCTCAGGAAGCCAGCCCTCCTGCAGGGAGGGGAGCTGGAGCTGAGTCAGCCTGGCCCCCGGCAGAGGGCTGGGCTTTTCCAGGACCCTTGGGTGGGGCCTAGCCACGAGAGAGTGTGGCCTCACTGTGCTACCTTGATCACAATCGTTCCTTTATGCCCAGTGGATCTGGGGACTGAGCAGACCACAAGCTCCTTGGAGCGGAGTGTGAGGCTGATGTAGCCGTGCGTGATGGGGCAAGGCCAGCCCACCCCACAACAGCCAGGAGCTCCCAGCAGGGCAGTGAGAGGCTGCAGGACATGGTTCTGGCTTTCCTGACCTACAGTGCAGCCCAGCCTCAGGTCTGGCCCTCATGTGATGGAAAAGGAAGGCAGATCCCCCTCGTTGCTGAGGCCAGGCCTCAATGAGTACTCTGAAGGAGACTGTGGGTAGGGGTGGTCTTCAGCCAGGGCCATCCCGTCCTGCTCCCAGCACAGAGATGACCCCTGAGGACAGCAGGAGAGGGAAGTTCTTACAGCTCTCCTTATGCAGCAGGGTGCAGGAAGGGGGAACCCATGGAGGGCAGGGCAGGCCGGCTGGAGGGGCCAGTGCAGGTGCCCTGCCTGACCTCCTCCTGGCACACTCACTCCCACACATACACATTGGAATGTGCATGACCCAGGCCCTGTCTCCCACCCCACGTGGACCAGGCCCCCACCAGCCCCTTGTGAGCCTGGATACTGAGCTTAGCCCCAGGAATTGTAGCTCCTGGAAAACCCCCACCCGTTGTCTTGAGATTCCCAGGTAAACGGGATACTGTCCCAGAGGGGCCCGCAGCCCCACCCTAGGGGAAGAACAGGGCTGGAGTGGGCCCTCACTGTGCCACGCTCCTCGGTGCTCCTTTCACTTGCAGATAGGCACCTAAGCTCTTGTCTGACTGGCCGGCTGTGCTGCCTGTCTCCACCCCAGGTCTCCTCCAATGCCCATCCCTCGCCCCAGGGAAGACCTGCCTGGGGCAGACCCTGCTCCATAGGCTGAAACACCACCACAGGCTTCTGCAGGCCCCGGGCAGGGAGGACGGCAAGGGAGAGGTGGGAGTGGGCAAAGAGTATGCAGGGAACAGGGTGTGGACCACTCTCTAGGCGTGGGCAATGCTGGACAGTCTGCTTAAGGAAGTTCTGGGAACGTGGGAGCCAGCCTAGGTGGGGTGCCTCCAGTTCCCACCTCTGGCCACCGCTGGGTGTATTGTCCTAATGCACGTCCCTTACAACCCCAGGCCCTGAGGCTCTGAGTGGTCCCTCCCCAGGGCCGAATGGGCCCTGCCCAAGGTGATGCTGAGGATCCAGGTGAGTGGCAAACCTCAGCCCCTCTGCCTCCCTTTCCCCACCTGGGAAGTGGGGAGTGGAGAAGCTGGACAGTGTCCCAGGCTGTCAAGGGAACAAATGAGGCTTGGCGGCCTGGCGGCTGGGAGAGGCGCTGCTCATGCCATAGGAATGTGCGGGTGGAGACCCTGCCAAGGAGCCAGCCAGACTGCACAGGTCAGACCCTGGCCACCTGGGGAGGAGGACTGCTCCCTTGCTCGGTGGGTGGGGTGGAAGTACCAGGCCCCAGCTCCAAGGAGTCTTGTGTTTCCATTTTTCAGGGGATGGAACTGAGACAGAGAGTGGCCAAAGTCATAGGTCAAGCCAAGGGCTGGACTCCCAGCCAGAGCCTCAGTGGGCCTCTGCAGGCCACACTGCCAGGTCACAGCTCCAGGGACCTGCTGGCTCCTTTCACATGTGCTCCTGACTCAGGCAACATGAAGAGGAGAAACTATGGCAAGGAACAGTAAGCAGGGACTACAGGAGGTGAATCCACCAGGGCCCTGTGCTCCAAAATGGCAGGGCCACTGGAATCAACCTGCCCGGCCACTGGCCTTTCCTTCCTGGCCTTGGACCACAGCCTTAGTGGAGTGACCTTGCGGCCAAAGGCCCTCACCTCCAACCAGCCCCTCGGATGGCTCTGTGATGCTGATTCCCAGTGTGGAATCTGTCCTTGCTTTCCATAGCTGCAGAAGGGACTTTGGGTGGCTCTGAGGTGCAATACCTGCCAGCATGCAACCCCCTGGCTCCCACCCCAGCACCAAGAACAAAAACCAACACAAACCCGGAAAGGCTTCTGTTTGCTGGACTGAGAATGCCCCGCGTCCATCTCTGACCTTTTCCTGAGAGTGGGTGCTGTTCTGTACAGTTGAACCCAGTGCTAATTAGTGCAGAATTCAACAAGGCTGCCAGTTGCTATACCAGTTTACAAAAGTCAACAGAGAAGTGCTCTCTAAAACATCCTTTCCATCTGGAAAGTGCTAGAGGAAGTACATGTGAGATACAGGGAAGTCCACACTTTAATTGATGAACTCAACATATACAAATGGAGGGTCTGGGGCTGTAGCTCAGCAATAGAGCACTTGACTAGCACGTGTGAGACACTGGGTTCAATCCTCAGCACCACATAAAAATAAATAAGTAAAATAAAGGTATTGTGTCCAGCTCCAACTAAAATATATACATATATATATACACGTATACTTATATATACATACATATATATATATATATATATATATATACACACATACATTTATACACACACACACATGTATATATATGAATACCAATGGAATACAAACTGCAACTTAGGCCTGCTTGAGAGGAGAATGGATCATTTGGAGGATAACATTTATCTCAAATGAGGCACAAAGTTAGTTTCCTGTCATCATAATCAGTTACAGATACTTAATCAGATTGTTAGTGCGGATGCTCCACCATCTGGGAGGTGCTTTCCTGAGGCCACTGTAAAACAACCCTGCTTCACGGGTAATAAGAAAATCGCTTATTCCAAGCCCACTATGAGTAACTATGACCCAGGAGCACAGATTTAGGTTACCCTGAAGGATATTTTCAACTGGGGAAGGGGTCACATGAACTTATATAGTCACAGGAGGAAAGAAAGTCAAGAATCCACGGGTTTACAGGGGCAGTGTCCAGTTGGCGGCTACAGAAGGGACTTTGTGTGGCTCCAAGGTCCCAAAGGTGGGGAGTCCCTGCTGCAGAATTCAGATGTCATTTTCATCTCATCTTCATCCCAGTCTCAGCACCAGCTGGTAGACACTGGAGGTGTCAGGGTTTGGGCATGTTCCCAGAGTTTCAAGGGGAATTCAGAAGGTGTCAGTTTTGGTTGACAGTAAATGGCTGTTAAAAAGGGCTAAGGACAGTCCAAGATAACTTTGGCTCTTGATTTGTGTGTGTGTGTGTGTGTGTATTTTGCTGGGGATGGAGCCCAGGGCCTCACACATGCTAGGCAAGCCTCTACCATCTAGCCAAACCCCAGCCTTTTTAAATGTCATTTTGATACAGGGTCTCACTAAGTGGCCCAGACTGGTCTAACTTGCCATGCTACTGCCTCAGCAACTTAACAAGAAGGAGGAGGAGGAGGAATGAGAGGGGAGGAGAAGGAGAAAGAAGCAAGGCAGAGGAGAAGAGAAGGAAGAGAGCAGGAGAGGGAAGAGAAGAGGAGGAGGGGAAGAGCAGCAGCAGCACCTACTGCAAGTGTGGTTGGTAATGGAGACTGGGCTCCTGTTTCAACTATGGCTGCACAGGAAGTAGCTGACACCAGCCGCTTGGGATTCAAGCAGCATTAGCTATTAAAGTGATGGTAATGAAGTGTATGCCTTGCTCAAGAGCCATTTCCCTGTGACTTTGGGATGAATTCTCTAGGAAGCACCTCTGAGTTCCCAGCAGATGTTGGACCCCAAAGCCACATGTGCCGAACAGCCAAGACACGTTCTTCCTCCCTGAAGGACACCCGGGCCATCATCCCCTGATGACCTGTCTGAGTGGGGGCAGGTCGGGACAGTCAGCATCTACCCCTGACCAAGTTCTCACAGCGGGACCAAGCACGATGGTGAGAAGCCACGGCCAGCCATAGGCACTTGAGGTTCTCACAGACTCTGCCAGTCCAGCTCGTGTTTCTGCTCCCACATGGTTTCTAAACCATGGTCAGTTTGGGCGCCTATTAGCACAGTCCTCTCAGACTGAGTGGGTCTTGCTGAACGTGCAGATCCTCCTGCCTGCAGCTGTAGTTCTCTGCCGCCTTTGCTTGGGGCTGGTTTCCAGTGCCCAGCTCAGCCTCCAGGGCATGACTCCTCAGATCAGCAGTAGCATCTGTCCACTCAGCAAGAGCCCCGGGAAACGACTTCCAGCCATTCTCTTGCTCTGATGGACTATCGTAGTTCTCAGTTCTTCTCTCTCAGAACACCTTTGTGCTGAAAGGCCGGTAGCCTTAGACTTGCTTCCTCTGCTTCCTCTGCTGCAGCCTCCCACTGAGCCACCCAC